GGGCGGCGCGGGGCTGGCGGCGGCCGCGCTGGGCGCCGGCGCAGCGCTGTCCGCCTCGCTCGCGCCGCTGCTGGAGCTCTGTCGCGCCGCAACCACTTCTTTATTAGCAAATCCACGCACGGTCGCACGCCTCCGCCGAGCCATCGTTCGAGTCCGGGGCATGATCGACCTCGCCGATCGACGCTCGGCGATGACCAACATATATCCATTATACTACATATGGCCGAATTCTCGGGAGTAGTGACACTAACAAACTGAACTGGCGACTCGGTAGGAATATTTGGGCTACACTCCATAAATGTGAAATGATAATGATATTGAGGTGTACCAGAAACAGTAACCAGTGATCATTGTGATAAATGACGTAGGCCTTGAACCGACGTGGTAGATATTGTGTTTAATAAAATGCGTGCACGATGCCTGGATCGTACGACAACTTAAGTGCTAATCGAACCATACGCGTAACCCAAGAAGTATAGAATCGAAATAACTATATACCCGTACTCAAAGTATGAAGTACTCAAAAAGTTAACATCACAGAGCAAAGAATAACAGTAGAGTTTATGTAAATTCTCTTTCAGTCGCCCGACTGAAAATGTTGTCATTATGAACGCGACTTTTATGTTATGATAATACGCACACAGGCAATCGTCGACTACCATATGCAAGGGTTACGCGTGCCCCGTATACATACTACATCTACTGCTTCTCTGTTCTGTGGTAACACCAAAAAATAACTACTCCAAATTCGTTATAACAATAAGGCCACTCAAAAAGATTGAGACTAAAATACAAGTAGGAAATACTGTAGATCCTCTCACTTCTTTCTTCAACTGCTGCCGTGGTAGTCCACTTTTAGAATTAATTTATACAGAACACAAAACTAGTAGGCTGAGTGCTGGTGTATCCTACAGCCGAGTTATATACAGTCGTGCTAGCATTGAGACAGGCGACAGAATCTACAGCAACCGTGGTATTAACAACAGATAGCCTCGATGCGACCGCTAACGAGACAAACCTAGACAGTTCTATTGCTAACATACGCGTTCTAGCGTATACAGAGGGCCTAGTACTAGTTTGTTTTACGTTTAACGAGATCGAAACCGTGTATAGCCCTTTGATTGGTTGGTTCTTTAGAGCAGGCCAATCAGAGTGCCGAACGCATAACATTTCGATGGTGTTAAACATGAAACAAAACTCGTACTAGGCCTTTAGAAGTACACAAGGCCCTAGTGTACACACAGTAGGAACACGGTGTGAGTGAGTGGGTTAGCACACAGCCCATAGTAGGCACGAGCACACATACCTGCTGAGCCTTCTTCATACGGATAGCGCTGCGGTTGTCGCGGGCGCGCTGCAAGTATGGAGCCTTCTGGTCGGATGGTAAGGCGCGCCATTTCTTCAGTATCTGTTTGCAACGGTCCACCCAGTTGGGGAATTCTGTCTTCCACTCCGGATGGTTTGTATTGGCGTATAGTACGGCTGATATTGTTGCAGCTGAGCCTAAACCTATGTTCAGTCGATATTCAGTATTGTACGTCAAATGACCATTATAATTTCAGATATAAAGTGATTACTTTTCAATAATTCACATAAATGACAAATTAATGTTATAATTAAACAAGGGATAGGTACGTACTCTCGTCAGCCCGCATCTTGTCGGCACTGCGTTGGTTGTACGAAGGTGGCGGCGCCTGCGCAGGGTCGGGCCAGGTCGCGCCGCCACTACCGCTCTCAGAGAACAGCGGACTCATCGCGCTGTTACTGCTAGAAAACCAAAAGTGTATGCTTGTATATATTTATCAAGAAAAAATCTAGTTTATAGCCTTGTACATCAATCTATACAAAACCAATTTAGCATAGTGTCGCTTTGTATTTATCTTTTCACACATTCAACAGCCAGTTTATACTGAATTTTCATACCTTGAAGTGTAGTCGTGTCTATTGTAAGTACAATATTATTTGCTAACATTCTATAACAATAGAAAAATGGGTAAATTAAAAATGTTGTAAACTAACCTGCTGCCTCCAAACTCCGGGTAAGGCGAGGTATACTCCATGGGGCTTTGCAGCTGTTGTCGTTGTTGCGAGTATGGCGTACTTGCCATAGAGTTCACGTACGAAACGGACGACTCTTGCGATTCCTGCGAAGTTATCAAAATTATTATTACGTTTTAAGAGAGATAACATAACGATTTTAAAGTGCATATTTGACGACATAATCAATTGAAAATAGTACCTATGGTTACGAAATACACTCAATTGCAATGACATTTAAAAATATACCATAAATCTATAAAACAAAGTTGAAAATAAAATAGTACCTGTGAGTCATCAGTGAGCACTCCCTTGAATATTTCATCGACATCATTGCTGTCCATGTCAGGGAGGCCGTCCCTCACCATGGCGTCCAGATTCACTCCGAGGAGAGACAAGTCGTCCTTAGGAGATATCGTTGATGCTTGGGATGATCCACCAGTTTCTAGAAAAGATACAAACCATTAAATTTTTTCTTAGGTCCTGTCATATGAGATACTGGCCAAACCCATTTCGAATAAAAAAGATACATTTAGTTCTTCTCTTCTAGCCCAATCTCAAAATGAAATCTGTTCATGTTTTGACAATAATTTACAATCTTAATACTGATAGAAATACTGAAAGATAGGCAGAAAGCCATGCTTATGTCAATGTAAACGTGTTATATTATATGTTTTTTTATGGGATAAACCAGTAAACGAGCAGACGGATCATGGACTCCCGAAACTCCAGAGGTGTACAAGTGCGTTACGGGCCGTTTGGGAATTACACATTTAAGGATTGTTGGGGATTTAGGGATTGTGGAGATTGAGAAGGGGGCTTATTGGGCCCGCTCTTATTGATCTTCCTTGATAAATAGACTATCCAATACAAAGGGAACGAGGATGATTTGAAACCAGTAATTTCGGGGATTTTAGAGTTCAAATAAAGAACTCTTTAGTTTTTTAAATTTAATATAGATACAAGCACTCACCGCTGATGGCCTCAGTTTTAGTACTGTGTACAGTAGGTATGCTCTCAGTGGCGACAGTGGGTGGCTGCTCAGCCTCAGCTGGCTGCGGACCCAGTATCGCATTCTTCAGGGCAGTGGAGTCCTCAGTATGTTTCAACTGACATTCGTCTAACTCAGTCTTGATCTTCAATGTGCCATCTGAATTGGTTGTGTTGGAAACGTCATCCTTCTCATCTTTTGGCTTCAAAGAGTTCAGTATTTCTACTTCATCCTGGTACAATGAAAAAATACGTTAGCCTTGTTATAAAAGTATTAATGTTGCTCAGAGTTAACTCTTATTGTCGTTTTCACAAACATCTCCTGAATTATAAGGAACCCTTTTGTCAGCTAATCTAATTACAATTATTATTTACAGGTACAAGTAACATTTAACGACTTTTTGGTATTCACATCTAACACCACAAGTAGGGACTCAACAGTACATGTAAGGGGTTAGTTTAGGTGCTACATCGCATTAAGTAACTTTTAGTTTTTAGTTGAGAAGTAATTAATGATGGTTGGCGAAATCGGCCTAGACATATAGCAAGAATAGTAGATGTAGCAGTGTGTTACCGTGTTGAGCGAGATGAGTACAGAGCAGTGCAGGTCGGAGTAGGAGTGCAGCGCGTGCAGCACGTCCTCGCCGTCGCTGTCGGAGTTGTCCAGCTCCCAGCGCGCCCAGCTCGGCTCCGGGGACCGCGCCGCCGGGCTCGACGCGGGGTTCCCGGCTGGAACACGCTCTACATCTATATACTCACCTCAAATTCTATGCTATTTCCAATCAATTGCTATACTACAGAGCTGCGGCACGTAAGCCGCTATGTAGCTATGTAGATGACGATGACGACGACGATTAGTCGCATAAATTAAAAAGTCAATGAACAGGATAAATATTACACACAATAAATTCGACAGCTCATAAAATAAGATGATTTTTTCTTCGTGACGTTGTCGAGTAGGTCAGAATTCTAAATAAACAAATATAATGTATTGTTCTCTTACCAGTAGATGAAACAGTTGCTTTAGTTGGCTCCAACAAATCTTTGCCAAAGAAAGCTTCTTGCATATAAGATGGGAACTGCTCCATGAGCTTGGACCGTGGCTTCCGACGAGGTTTGCGCTTATTACTGGGTGATTCTGTTTAAACAAGTAATCATGAAAACCACCTTACTAATAGATATATTTCATATACCAATAATTCTATCAGAGTATATCTTACCTCCAGATGCTTGTGTTCCATCTCCGTCCTTTTCCTCATCAGCCTGCGCCTTGGCAGTAGTTTGTCTCTGTCTTACAACAAACCCACCAATCCCGAGCTTGTTCAGGTTTCTCTGTCTCTTTCTCCGCAGTACTGTGAGACCTGAGTCCGTAGTATAGATGGTAAAGCCCTCGGGAGGCGGACCGTCATTGGCAACGTTCCATAATATGCCTTCTTTGAAATTCGTGTTGGGTACACCTGTAGTAAATATAAGATAGTGAAACTAGTCGTTCACCAGTTTTGTTATTGGAGTTTGTATAAGTTATTGAGTATGTTGACTCACCAGGTTCGTCCTTGACTTCAGCGGTGCTGTCAGGCTTGGAGTCGTCGCCCATCTCGACGTCTGCGTTCTGAACCACTGTTTCAATAGATGCCATTATTTCTAATCCACAATGCCAGCGTCGAACATACAAAAACTCATGTTAGATACACATCCCACATGTACAAAATTTTACATATACATACAACTACATACAGCAATAATAATATAGGCATACATATGATACACAAACAATACGTTTTATCGATACCATCCCAATATAAAGCGGAAATTTAGAATCCATATAGTTCACAACATAACAAATAAGCACTACATATAACTACAATATACTAGAAGCGAAGTATAAGAGTACGACAGACACAGAGCATGCGAGGCAGGACATTCCGAGTATTTACCTGCGTCCTTCTCGGTGTTGTCGTTCTTGAAGCGGCGCTTGCGGCGCGTGTGCGTGATGCCCATGTCGGCCTCGAGCTGCTTCATGTGGTGCGCGCCGCGCTGCGACAGACACACGTCGTCCACGTAGTACTCGCCCGCCAGCCCCAGCGACTGCGGCGTGGGCCGCGCCGCCGGCCGCGCCGCGCGCGACACGTGCGCCGGCGGCAGCCCACGCACTTGTACCTGCCGGGGCGCATGTTAGCTCTACTGTGTCTCTTACCAGTGTCGTAGGGATGACCCACTTTATACAGTACACGTATAACTTTTACTGAAAAGTTCAATCATCAATTCTATTCTCACATTTCAAAAGTATCTCTTGAAAATAAATAAAATTATCAAGTCTAAAAGTGCTCACAATAAAACGACGACCTCTTCTCACAAGGTGAAGGTATGAGCATTAATCACTCCTATTTGGTACTCAAGACGATTTTAAACATTATGTATAATAAAAAATATAAGTTCTGTTTTCCTCACAACAATTTTGTTCACCATAACCCCTCATACGGAAAAAGAGATGCCTAGACCCCGAGCACATAATAATACTATTTTATAGTTATTGTTATTATTTATGTCTAGACTCACCCGGCTCGACAACAAACTTCAGCGTCGTTTTCATTCCGTATCGAGTCGCAGGACGCATGCAGCCACCGCCGACAGCCCTCGCACTGTATGATGAGCTCCCCGTCCGAGTACGGCTCCGAGCACACGCTGCACATCACCAGCGACGCACACGGAGCACACTCTGGAAGTACAACCATTTATGTACGCATACAACATTAATTAATTATGTTATAAAAAAAAAACTGATTTCGATTGGCTCCTCTGGTGTTACGTGTGTCCTTGGGCGGTGTCAATTGCTTACCATTAGATGATTTGTCAGATCGTCGATTGATTTGTTTTATCATATAACAGAGACATACTCAAAATGTCTGTTGCATTTGTTAATATCGCGATTTCAAGTTTGCCTACAATAAACAAGCGCCAACGCTAGCCTACAAGTCGCAACATCGCCGCGACCGCGTACACTACTCATGAGAGAAGAGAAGAGAAGAGAAGAGAAGAACCCCTTTTTAGTTCGAAACTAGTAGAGCTTCTCAATATTTTCACGTGAGTAACCAGCGATATTTAGGTAATTTAGTATGTCCCACGCGTTATTATAAAAACGCTGCGTACAAGAGCCCGTTACCTGTGTAGTTGTCGCACCAGGCGGGCGTGGAGCGCGTGCCGCAGACGCGACAGCGGCGGCAGCGCTCGCAGCGCCACGGGCCGCGCGGCACGTCGGCCAGCGGCGGGCGCGCGCAGTACGTGTGCCACGTCGTGTCGCAGTCGTCGCACAGCAGCAACAGCGGGTCGTCGCCGCGCGCGCCGCAGCCCTCGCACACCGTGCAGTCCAGGCAGCGCCAGCCCGCGCGCACTATCTCCGCAGACACCTGCCGCACGCCGCGGACACACATAACTCTCGGGGAATGGAACAACAGACACATACATCCAAACAACTCTCAGCAGCCCTCGCACACCGTGCAGTCCAGGCAGCGCCAGCCCGCGCGCACTATCTCCGCAGACACCTGCCGCACGCCGCGGACACACATAACTCTCGGGGAATGGAACAACAGACACATACATCCAAACAACTCTCAGCAGCCCTCGCACACCGTGCAGTCCAGGCAGCGCCAGCCCGCGCGCACTATCTCCGCAGACACCTGCCGCACGCCGCGGACACACATAACTCTCGGGGAATGGAACAACAGACACATACATCCAAACAACTCTCAGCAGCCCTCGCACACCGTGCAGTCCAGGCAGCGCCAGCCCGCGCGCACTATCTCCGCAGACACCTGCCGCACGCCGCGGACACACATAACTCTCGGGGAATGGAACAACAGACACATACATCCAAACAACTCTCAGCAGCCCTCGCACACCGTGCAGTCCAGGCAGCGCCAGCCCGCGCGCACTATCTCCGCAGACACCTGCCGCACGCCGCGGACACACATAACTCTCGGGGAATGGAACAACAGACACATACATCCAAACAACTCTCAGCAGCCCTCGCACACCGTGCAGTCCAGGCAGCGCCAGCCCGCGCGCACTATCTCCGCAGACACCTGCCGCACGCCGCGGACACACATAACTCTCGGGGAATGGAACAACAGACACATACATCCAAACAACTCTCAGCAGCCCTCGCACACCGTGCAGTCCAGGCAGCGCCAGCCCGCGCGCACTATCTCCGCAGACACCTGCCGCACGCCGCGGACACACATAACTCTCGGGGAATGGAACAACAGACACATACATCCAAACAACTCTCAGCAGCCCTCGCACACCGTGCAGTCCAGGCAGCGCCAGCCCGCGCGCACTATCTCCGCAGACACCTGCCGCACGCCGCGGACACACATAACTCTCGGGGAATGGAACAACAGACACATACATCCAAACAACTCTCAGCAGCCCTCGCACACCGTGCAGTCCAGGCAGCGCCAGCCCGCGCGCACTATCTCCGCAGACACCTGCCGCACGCCGCGGACACACATAACTCTCGGGGAATGGAACAACAGACACATACATCCAAACAACTCTCAGCAGCCCTCGCACACCGTGCAGTCCAGGCAGCGCCAGCCCGCGCGCACTATCTCCGCAGACACCTGCCGCACGCCGCGGACACACATAACTCTCGGGGAATGGAACAACAGACACATACATCCAAACAACTCTCAGCAGCCCTCGCACACCGTGCAGTCCAGGCAGCGCCAGCCCGCGCGCACTATCTCCGCAGACACCTGCCGCACGCCGCGGACACACATAACTCTCGGGGAATGGAACAACAGACACATACATCCAAACAACTCTCAGCAGCCCTCGCACACCGTGCAGTCCAGGCAGCGCCAGCCCGCGCGCACTATCTCCGCAGACACCTGCCGCACGCCGCGGACACACATAACTCTCGGGGAATGGAACAACAGACACATACATCCAAACAACTCTCAGCAGCCCTCGCACACCGTGCAGTCCAGGCAGCGCCAGCCCGCGCGCACTATCTCCGCAGACACCTGCCGCACGCCGCGGACACACATAACTCTCGGGGAATGGAACAACAGACACATACATCCAAACAACTCTCAGCAGCCCTCGCACACCGTGCAGTCCAGGCAGCGCCAGCCCGCGCGCACTATCTCCGCAGACACCTGCCGCACGCCGCGGACACACATAACTCTCGGGGAATGGAACAACAGACACATACATCCAAACAACTCTCAGCAGCCCTCGCACACCGTGCAGTCCAGGCAGCGCCAGCCCGCGCGCACTATCTCCGCAGACACCTGCCGCACGCCGCGGACACACATAACTCTCGGGGAATGGAACAACAGACACATACATCCAAACAACTCTCAGCAGCCCTCGCACACCGTGCAGTCCAGGCAGCGCCAGCCCGCGCGCACTATCTCCGCAGACACCTGCCGCACGCCGCGGACACACATAACTCTCGGGGAATGGAACAACAGACACATACATCCAAACAACTCTCAGCAGCCCTCGCACACCGTGCAGTCCAGGCAGCGCCAGCCCGCGCGCACTATCTCCGCAGACACCTGCCGCACGCCGCGGACACACATAACTCTCGGGGAATGGAACAACAGACACATACATCCAAACAACTCTCAGCAGCCCTCGCACACCGTGCAGTCCAGGCAGCGCCAGCCCGCGCGCACTATCTCCGCAGACACCTGCCGCACGCCGCGGACACACATAACTCTCGGGGAATGGAACAACAGACACATACATCCAAACAACTCTCAGCAGCCCTCGCACACCGTGCAGTCCAGGCAGCGCCAGCCCGCGCGCACTATCTCCGCAGACACCTGCCGCACGCCGCGGACACACATAACTCTCGGGGAATGGAACAACAGACACATACATCCAAACAACTCTCAGCAGCCCTCGCACACCGTGCAGTCCAGGCAGCGCCAGCCCGCGCGCACTATCTCCGCAGACACCTGCCGCACGCCGCGGACACACATAACTCTCGGGGAATGGAACAACAGACACATACATCCAAACAACTCTCAGCAGCCCTCGCACACCGTGCAGTCCAGGCAGCGCCAGCCCGCGCGCACTATCTCCGCAGACACCTGCCGCACGCCGCGGACACACATAACTCTCGGGGAATGGAACAACAGACACATACATCCAAACAACTATGTACTTACACACCAATGTACGACATATACATACTTACATACCAATTATTTCAAAAAAAAAAAGAGAGACACCTTATTTTTAAATGGTCACAAGAATAATTGACTCCCCAATAAACTCATTGAAAATCTTACCTTAATATTGACGCAATACGGATGGTACGTTTGTCCGCACTGTGCACATGCAATTAGGCATCCCTCAGAATCAGTACCAATTGCACCACACATTACACACAAATCTTGAGTTAGGACGAACTTGTCTTTGCTTGAACACAGCACTAATTTATTTTCCACACCTACAATACAAAAAGGAACATGATTTTACTTGACATAACAGCAAATATAATACTTAAAAAATCTTTATGTGACCTTTGTGTATAAAATTACTTTACTAATCTAAAGAGCCTAGCCTCTGTGAAAACCATTTACTGAATAGATGTAAAAAAAAAATTAATTTCATGAAATTACTCACCGGGATCATCTTCAGGTGCCTTGTTATCAGGGGCTTGAGGTCTCTGCAGCCCGAGTCCTGGCACTCCAAACACTCCTCTCATCTTTGGTTTAGATCCCCTCTTTCTTCCAAAGTCTAGGACAGATCTTTGACGCTTCTGGAAGCCTAGTTTGCCGGCAGGAGGAAAGCCACCCTTCAGTTTGTAACCACCAATCTTCTTCTTTGCCACTTTTGCTGAGACTGTGAATGGTTTGCCTTTCCCAAGACCAACATCAGGCTAGAAAAAACAAATATTGTTAAGTGTTTTGTTTTTATGAAAAAAGTATGCAAATTGATCTGATGATTTAGTGAAGTTATTACTTGGTTTTTTGTATAATTAATGTGATTATTAATCCTTATAATTATTAATAAATAGCAAGAAATTTACCTTAGGTTCTATAGCAAGAGGATCTTGTTCAGTCTGAGAGTTCTCATCGCCGAATGAAGAGTCTTGGGATGTTGATGCAACAGTATCATCGTCGAAAGCTGACAACAAAACATAGTATAAATAATCACACTTTGTCAGTTGTAAAATAGTAACATTATATGTTTGATACTTACGTGCCGCCTTGGAGCCAGTGAGTTGCATCTGAGCTTTGCATATAGGACAGCTGTACTCGTAAGATGGATTTTGTTCTTTCTTTTGTCGATATTGTTGTGGTTCCGCATCGGGGTCACACATTCCGTGTACATATCTAGATGAATGTAAACCCATTATGTATATCGTTTAGTTACAAAATTCAGGATCAGTCTATGTTAATAGTTTTGTAAGAAATCTGTGTCATATCATCGGCAATTATTAGCATTTTTAAATTAAGCCACTTTAGTCAAACTAAAAGCTTTGTTTAGTCTTCTTAGACCTCTTGGTGAGGAGTATAAAGACTAAAAAAGTAAACATAATATTCTAGGGGAGTTGTACGCGAGTTCATAATTGTCGTACCTCTTGCAGAGTATGCAGCGTATCATGTCCCGGTAGGCGGCGGCGCGGTATGCGCGGCGACACAGCGGACAGCACGAGCCCTTGTTGCGCTGCTGGTAGCACGAGTCGCACACCGTGTAGTGCGCGTGCCAGCGGGACGACGGGCCCGCGCCCGGCGACCGGGACCCGCAGTCCGAGCATACCCGGCAGCACTGCGCCGTACCGTCGTCAGTAACAGCACATACACGGAAAATAGGAGGACAATGTTGTGATGACTGGTGATGTATCACGAAATAGAAAGAACTAGTACTAACTACATGTCTTTTCGCAAAAATAATTATGCTCTTGGTAGTAGACATTTTAATTAATTCCTGTTGTAGAAAAATCAATGAGAATACTGACCTTACATTTCCACCCGTACTTAGGCACGGTGGCCATGACAGGCCGGAGACAGGTGGCGTGGTAGAGCTTGTCGCAATGCTCGCAGGTGACAGCGCGCGCCTCGTGGCCGGGCGGCTGCAGCCCCGCGCCTGCCTCGCCGCGACATACCTGGCACACGCGACACGACCGACACGACCAACCAGACCGTACACCTGCACAAACACTGCCATGTTATACCGAAATAAAAACTCTCAAGGCAAACTAATATGTATTCATAACAATCTATCATGGGAATAAAAAATTTCACCCTAAAGAAAAGATGGGTACTTTGTGAGAACTGCAAATAACTTGGAACAAGGGTAAGAAGAACAAAAAGAAGATAAATAATCCTTTAAATATATAAAAGTTTATTCTATATGGGTACATACCTGGCAGCTGCGCGAGTCCAACGCATGTGCCGTGGTAGTGAGCGCCGCAAGTAACGCAGGTCATCAAGTTAGCGATATCACCGATAGTTCTACAAGTCCTACAGTCTATATCTGCTGTACCTGCAAAACAACTCCTTATTATATAAAACCATGTAAAGTCTCTACAATATAGTCTTACTTTTTAATATTCACACATTCAATAAATGTTTAAAATATTGAACTTACAAATAAGAGGCACTTGATAAAGATGGTCCTTGCAAAAGGAGGATTTGGTCTGGAAGTCAATGAATCCTCCAGAAGCAAGCACACATGGTAGATGAAAATATTTGCTGCAACTCATCTGTAACGACAAATAATAAAACTGTTTCATCTCTGCAGTTATTTGACAGTAACATCATGTTAATCAAAGCTAATAACTCACTTTACAAGGTATGCTTGCTCCATGTCTGCTGCAAAAGGCACATTTCCTTGACAGGGCAGCTGTCACAATCCCCTTGACCCTGGCTTCCTCTAACTGATCTTTGTCTTCTTCAGAATTGGAGGCTGCAAACACATGATCCTGGAATGGTGGGCTAAACTCAAGGCAACACCGGTGTACATACAGCGCTCCAGATGAAACTACCCCTGATAATTCCATAACCTCCGTGTAACCAATAATGGACAATTCATCCGTATGTTCCATGTTGTACAAAGGAGTTCTGTGGAAATAAAAACAAAATTACAACATTACCAACAAAGTAAATACTTAAAATGTTTCTTGATACTAAGTCAATATAATGAGTTGGGGGCTTGTTTCATACAATGAGTCAGTATTTTATCTCAACCTACTTCCTAGTTATATCACTACACTTGGTCATACTTGAACAATATCTTACTGATAAATCAATTAGAAACATCAGAAAATAAAAGAACTTACTTGCACTTGTTAAATGCTTTTTGGCGTCTACTCAAAGGCATCGCAAGTGGGTGCTGATTAGGGTCCACAAGTTCTGGCGGCGGTGAAACCAGGCCGGGCGTCACGGGGGTGCTGGGAGTGCTGGATGGTGTGGGAGGGTTGGTGGGAGTGGCTCCACCAGAGTTACATATCGCCGGAGTGCTACTGCCATCACCCTCTCCAAGCTTACACATTATCTGTCGCATCTCACCCTGCCCTAACTGACTACGCTCACTCAGGTTGCAAAGTGCGCATAGTTTTCCTGGCCTGTAAAGACAGTAACATTTCTTTAATTTTTGAGAAGACTACATAAAGAATATTAAATTATTAAGATAATAAACATACCACTTCTCTGGCATGTAAGGTGGTTCTTCAGGTATAGGTGGTATGGGGAAGTCATCATCATCCATCATATCTTCAAGAGAATCATCTCGGCTCCCTCTGTGTCTCTTAGCTCCTCTGACAGAACCAGCATTGCCTCCTCTGTACCTAGTAGTGAATATTAAATAGAGGTCTATTATTTATTTTTGTCCTAATATTACTTCACTATTAAGAATTACAAGGCAGTAAAAGTGTAAAAAAAAATAACTGTAAAACTGTTAATAACAAAAGTTATCATTTGAAGAAAGTAATTGTATAATACTTCCACCACTTTGAAATATAACTTTATCATTGCAAATAAGTTTTTATCATATGAACATTGAGAACTTAGTTATATGCTATCACACTGTACTGTTAGGTACACCTTGCTTAGGTTCACTAGTAAAGATATTAGTTTCTTGAAGTTAATTTGTTCAAGTTGATGAGTGCAAAGAGAAAGAATCAAAGGAATTAAATTTTTATAAGTTATAAAGTTTAAAGTTGGCGATTTCATTCTCTACTATTGATTTATTAGCAATGAGTTAATTTACTTATTCAATGACTATTTATTAATAAAATTATGAACTCTAACGAGTGTGACATGATACAGCAGCGTGTACGGTTTATAAACGATATACATTTAAATGGCAAAAATATTTATTTTCAATTGCTAAAATGAAGAATATACAATGTTGCTACTGTATGAATATGAATCAGGTACATGACCTTGTTAGTGGGTAAACCATATTTACCTTCTGACTATCTTTCCTTCTCGTACCAGTTTTGGCCCCTCCTTCCGTGGTCGTCCTGGTCCCCTACGGCCAGATGAGAAGAATGGCCGGGTATAGGTTTGATGGTGGAAAAACGCAGGCTGTGACACACCACCGTGGGGAGAAGCAGGTTCCTCACCCCGCGGCGATGATGCACATGAAGTTGGTGTTGACCCTGGCCCTGTGTAGAAATCTAAGAATTTCTTTACATTTTTTCCATCTGCATATTGTAATAATACTACAATTATATTCGTGTCATACACATGAATGAATTCGCTAGGATTATTGAAGGTTTTTTGCATAGTGTTATGAAAATAGACTATCAGCTAACACAGAAGTGTACTAAACAAACAAATCAAATGTTTACTAGGGCCATGTGATACGCATAATGAAGACTTAAAGGTGTTATTCGATAAATAATTATACAAATAAATGTAAATAAGACAAACTTTATACCTGACGACGGCGGGGCTTCGCCTTCTTCTTCAGATCCATCGTCAGCTAGCAAATCGACGTCTAAAACTGTATCGTCCTGCACGTCCATCTAAAATTTTGCATAAGTTGATTTTGTATAACCAATACACTTGAATACACTAATGTTTTGTGGTTATGACGAAATTATTTACAACTAGCATCGAAACGAAATAATGAGACCGCCATAATGAACGAGAACGACAAGTGTATTATAAACTAAACTTCTAAACTTACCGCAAGACACTGCGATGGACTCGAAACTTGTCAAATTCAATAAAGAAAACTTAAAGATGGTAATAAAATCATTTTTCTATTTAAAATTACATTGAAAACACAAAAACAGAAAAATTATACGACTCGCTGAAACGCGAACGAAACGAAGCGCATAATAGTGATGCTACCCAAATAAACTAACTTTAAAGACTGAATCGATTTGAATATATCGATTTCCAAATTTTCAAATTACACTTATTTATATTTTGTTATAATTATTTAAAAATACTATTTTCTATTATTAATTTAAAAGTACTCTATTTAATGTTCAATGCCAAAATAAAATAAAACTTAGATATGTTCTTAAGTATGCTGAAAACGGAACGCACACAGCGCAAACTTGCTTACGTGTTTTCTTTGCTTTGATAATATTATTTATCGTATGAATGTATGTGTGCGTGAATGCTACACATTACAATACACCATGTAAAGTTGCTTGACTTGTGTGAACTTCACTCACTGATTTGTTTGAAGTTATTTGCTGGTGGGTGTCTACGATACGTGTCAAAGCATACAGTAACTCGCATTTGATACGGCAATTATAAATTAAAAACAATGAAATACATATTAGTATCAACTATATTAGTGTTAACATTTAGTAATTCATGTAATTCTTCATTATTCGAAAGTGACTCTTGTTATTCTTTTGGAAGCGGCAATGTTTTCCCTGGTGGTGCAAGAAAAATTGATCACAAATTACAATTCACTAAAGCTATGAGTAAGTACAAGTATGAAAATACTAAACCAAAGCATAATTAAAAGCTGATGGCATAATTTTTTGCTATAAATATATTTTCCATCAATTTTTAGTTTCTAAGCCGGCACCAGAATGGGAAGCTACTGCAGTTGTCAATGGAGAAATTACACAGCTTTCATTATCAAGCTTCAGAGGGAAATACTTGGTATTTTTCTTCTATCCTCTAGATTTGTAAGTAATATCCTATTAAACATAACATAACCATTTCGCTAAATAAACATTTCGTAAAATCCTAAATGTCTTAATAAGTATCTTAAAGCCAATAAATAAAATTAATATTCATTTCATTTTCAGCACTTTTGTTTGTCCTACAGAAATCTTGGCATTTTCTGAAAGAGTTGACGAGTTCCGAAAAATAAACACAGAAGTTGTAGCATGTTCGGTTGATTCTCATTTTACTCATCTTGCTTGGATAAACACCCCACGCAGAGAAGGAGGTCTGGGAAAAATTAATATTCCGCTATTGAGTGACTTAACTCACTCGATTGCCAAGGACTATGGTGTTTACCTAGAGGACGTAGGCCACACTTTAAGAGGCCTGTTCATTATTGATGACAAGGGTGTTTTGAGGCAAATTACTATGAATGATTTACCAGTTGGAAGATCGGTTGATGAAACTTTAAGACTTGTACAAGCATTCCAGTATACTGATAAGCACGGTGAAGTGTGTCCTGCAGGGTGGAAACCAGGCCAAGATACGGTGTGTACCTATCAGAAAATTAATTGATAAGTCGAGATAACATAATTATCTGCAGTTATTGATCGATACTTTGAGTTGTCAATGATAACTCATTCCATAACAATTGTTTATAATATTTTCAATTATTTACAGATTATACCCAACCCAGACGAAAAGAAAAAGTACTTTGAAAAAGTGGCGAAAAATTAATTATCGCAGTTAGTGGCAGTACAGGAGAACCAATACATCAATAAATCACTGCAATTTTTATATAATAGATTAAAATCACAATCTGTAGTTACACATAGGAAGTTCGTAAATGACAATAATTATTTCAGTTAAAATTTAATTTTTAATGTCACATTTATAAAAGTTATTGTTTCCAAGAACATAATACCTATAATATGTATGTGCCTAGATTAGGCGAATTAACGTAATTGTTAGGAACTGCACTAAGTCATTTTGGAATTACTCTTTAAAATATTGTTTAAAATATCGTTCAAAATACTCTTTTACAATTATTATTTAACACCTGCGTAAATAAAAATTAACAGGTATTTTGCATTACAAATTAAATTAAATTATTATAACATAAGTTTGCTACAGTGAAATTGTAAAATATTATCTATTTACTAATTTTGTGATCTTTCTGATCTATCTAAAAAATTACTCTACATCACTTAGAGAAGACTGAAATTGAGAGATCATTAATGAACTTTTTTAACTAGTTTGAAAAGCGTGCCAAGTACTATCAGAATGGTGAAAGGGATTATTTTTGTAAAACTTATACATTAATTATAAATAAAAATATTTCAACATTTAAAGTGTTTTTATTTATACGTAATGGGTTATCCAGCCTAATTTAGCTCATTGGTACAAAACAGTACATAATTTCATTGATTAAGAAGACGACAAACAAAATTTTCGAATGCGATCTTGAGTAATGTTTAGAGAATTATATTGAAAAATAAATATTACTGACACTTCTGGTTTTCAAAACTTGTCAATAATTTATTAATGTATACAGTACTCGTAATACAACTCAAAAATAATATAACTTGCACAACCGAATTATAAAATTTATTTAAGGACCTCTATCGGCTCCTTCGAGCTAAAAAAAAGGCATAATGTTACCTTGCTTTAAGGTAAATTATTCTAATAATTTTCTCAAAATAATAGATATTTTCCATGAAATAGAAAGTTCGATAAAGAAATCTATTTTATTTTTTATCGATTTTATTTATTGCACACCATTTGATTATAAGAAATATGAGTGAAACAGATAGCATCTCTAGTATTGTCAACATGGGTTGTCAAAGTCAAGATGGCGGATTCCACAGACTATAAATACGAAATCAAAGCGTTCACGTGGCAGGGGTTTTCATGCAAACTTTCAAGTCCAAATTCATGGTAACTGCTAAACTGATTTTCAAGCCAATTTTATTGGAATTTAGTTTACTTGGTCCATATCGTTTATTAAGTTATATTCATATTCATAAACGATAATAATTATGTCAAGGTGTAAATTTTAAGTGAACATTTTCGAAAAATGAACTTAGAGAAAGACTATTTTACTTAAGTTTTTATTAGTTTCCATACAAACTTAAAACTTTTTTTTTTACTTTGCCTTACATCCTATAATTATTTCTATGTCGTGGTCGTGGGTGCGTTGCGTTTATAAACATACGCGTTTAAACAATACAAAGTTTCATAAGTACATACACAACATATCACATTCAGCAGACGCGGAATAATAATTTGTGGATCACGTGGAGACTGATAGGCTTTTTCAAAATTTTTTATGATACTGATAGGCTAACGACTCACGGCGCGATCTTCTCCTAAGCTAACGACTCACAGCGCGATCTTCTCCCGTGCCCACCGTGGTTGCGGGCCGGAAGCTTCGTAGGATACGGATATTTATGTAAAGAAGTCGGTTTAAAATCAAAACAATTTTCATGCGTTTTACACCTGCGGCGGTTGTGATTGTTTGCGGTTCCCGCTGCGCCAACTGCGGCGAGCGCGGGAAAAGATCGCGCCGTGTGTCCTTAGCCATAGTTGTTGATGGCGACCTCTCGCGTCCGGGCCTCCGGCCTAGTGATGCGGAGCGAGGGGGACTGGGATGCCGTCTCCTCCTTTTGCGAAGCAGTCATGCTAGCTAAGGAGGAGGCGGGACGCGTGAGGCAGCGAAGCGCTGCCTCCTCGCAACCCAGCCATCGCGAAGGACACACCGGGCGTCGGGGATCGCGGGACGATCTCCGGCCACCGTAAGCGCGGGCCTGCGGACGGCGAGCATGGGTGGCTCCCCGTCCGACCAGAAACAGACCCGAGCGTACGGCGCGTCGCGTACCGCGCGCGCCTCAAAGAGCCATCAGACCACCACAGATGGGGCCCAATACGGCCGATGCCGATACGGAGTCGCGGAGAACCTAACGGGTAACCGGGGCTCCGGCTCGACGTGCAGGAGAAGGAACGGGGTGGTTTTTAGTCAGTAAGAGTCTGACACTCCCTTCCGCCTCACCCAGGCGGGAGGAGCAGTCATTCGATGATTTTCCCCCCTTAAAAAAAAAAAGTTGTTCTGCGAGGGAAACTATGATCACCCATACAAGATGTATTGTGACATTGTAAATCGAATGATGATAATATACCATCTTGCCTTTGGTATGCCAAAGTATAGCATAATTATAGTCTTATAGCCAAGTCATAAATTCTTCCATAAAATCAATGCGGGAAATGAACTCGCAAGTCGCAACCCATTACGTAACACCTAGCCCAACCACTGCGCCAACCGTGCTATTTCCTTTATATACTTACTATACTCTATGCGTGCAATCCTACTGGGCTATGGATGCATAATTTAAGGAGATTCTTAAAAAAACAGTTGAAGTTTTTCGAAGAAATATCCATATTATACAATATTTCGCTATCGTTCACAACAAACTTTTTAGACTTTGACATTATTAATAAACTTTTACAGTTGGCAGTAGCAGTAGGTACGTAGTACCTGAGTACATGTTGAGAACGAGTTTGGTTGGGTTTGGTAATAATTTCCATGGATTTGGACGTGAAAGTAATTGAAAGTTCATACAAAACCCACGAAATGTAAACGCTTTTATGAAAGAGACTTCTTAGTACTTCGGGTAGGTATGCTATGACAGGAAATGATGAGTTATGAGTTACGTACCCTCTTTTTTTTTGCTGTGTATGCAGTATGCACGCACCTTTGTTGAATGGTAGGGATGGGTGACTGGCTCCTGTGCAGCATACCTTCATCAGGATTGATTCCTGGATGGAACTTCATGTGTTCCACAAATCGCTAATTATGGTAGGTGGGCATAATTATGAATGAGGACGGTAAATAGAATTTCCATAAGTCATAGTTTTCCCCCGTCCCCCCCGTCCCGCGTCCCTCCCTTACGCTGTCAGGCTGACAAACAGTTATAATAAATAAAAACTTATGTACCTATTTGGCGTCGTATTTGTAAAATAACATTTTAGAGTTGGACTTTGTCATAGTACAAGGTAAATATTGTAAATAATTTAAATTCCAGACCAAGTTTATTCAAAGTGATTTTCTGATTTGCATACATTTTCTAATTTGCATACATTTTTTAGGCGGTGGACGGATGAAGATTGTATTTTTGGAGGCCTAAGTGGTTGTACCTACACAATTCATTATGTTGTCTTTTCATTATTCATTACGCCCCATAATAACAACAATGAAGTCACAGTTAAATGCATGTCTTCTGTTCGATCGAAAGTGTACGTTATTTAAAAATATGATATCATCTTGTAACATAACACATAACATTACCTACTTTCATGAATTCAATATCCTTTGTTATGTTGTTTACTATTATTTAAACAATGCTTCATTCATCACGTGGTCTTTGCACGCTGCACTAGTACTACAGCGATTTAGATTTACGATAATACATCACTCAGTAATTTTATCAGGTAGTAAATATAAATTTTGCGCTTCTTTCATTGCTTAATGTGACCATACGTTTGTATAAATTGTCTTCACAAGCTGTGTATAATCATTCTTTAGACTATAGTGTAGAGAATATTCGTTCATTATCTTTTTGTTGTGGCTAATCTACTTTTGTAATAACTTTTAACATTGATTCAACTCAAAGTAGTCAAATGTGATTATTGTGCCATTACTAGCTCAGGTTTGTTACATGGAAAGGTTAATTATAGTCAACAATGTTATCATCTTCGTTAATGTACAATAAAAAAATGTAAATAAAGAAGTATTTAAACGGGGAACCACTGCACTTGTATTGGCACTCTAGTTATGGGTTGGATTGTCTAAACCAGTATTAATGTGTAAAAATATTTTAAAAAAATTTATTTTTACAGTTATTCTATATACGAAAAGAACATACTCGGAGAAGGAAACTTTGGAATCAACTATGGTAGACCCAAAAAGAGTAGTGAGTTATGATGACATGTTGAAAATTATTTACCAGCCAGAGAAGATGATCATTGATGTCAGGGAACCCGAAGAAATACAGAGCACTGGCCAGATTCCATCCAGCATCAATATACCATGTAATTATTAAAATACCATTACAATTCTTATTTCTGTAAGCACTATTTTGATATAAATTTTTATTTTAATTTATATCAAAAAAATAATAATTGGTTGATATTTATCTACAACCATGTACATCTTTATATGCGCAATTCAATTCTTAAGTTATAGTGTAACTAATACAACTTTCCTTTCTATCACACAATACAAAATTGATATTTACCAATATAAAATTCTAGATAGACTAGATAGACTGCACGGTTGGTGCGGTGGCTGGGCAACCGGCTGCCGTGCAACGTGTCGCGGGTTCGATTCCCGCACGGAACAACACTTTGTGTGATCCACAAATTGTTGTTCCGGGTCTGGGTGTCATGTGTATGCGAACTTGTATGTTTGTAAACGCACCCACGACACAGGAGAAAATCCTAGTGTGGGGCAAAGTTTTTTTTTAAAAAAAAAAAAAAGAATTCTGTATATCTTTTGACTTGTTATGAACTGAAATTGATATTTTTATTTTTAATTATTTTGGCCACCAGGCCCAGTGGCTTAAGACGCCCACTTCTCATGCTTAAGGGCGTGGGTTCGAATCGAAACCTACCAATGTGACTTTTTCCGAGTTATATGTACTTTCTAAGATTATTTAGACACCACTGACAAACGGTGAAGGAAAACATCGCGAGGAAGCCTAGGCTTACAATTATCGCGAGAACCTAACGGGTAACCGGGGCTCCGGCTCGACGTGCAGGAGAAGGAACGGGGTGGTTTTTAGTCAGTAAGAGTCTGACACTCCCTCCCGCCTCACCCAGGCGGGGCAGTCATTCGATGACTTTCCCCCCTTAAAAAAAAAAAAAAGGCTTACAATTATAAGCTTTCTAATTATAAGTTTTAAATCGCCTACCTGCATTGATCAAGCGTGGTGATTAATGCTTAAACCTTCTCCATGTGAAAAGAGACCTTTGCTCAGTAGTTCTACTTATAGGCTGTTGCTGGTGATGACGTTGATGTTAATATGAAAAACAAAGTTCTGTGAGTAGGTAATAGTTAAAGACGGAAAAAGTGACAATGTTTTCATTGTATGAAAGAAACAGATGGTGCAGTGCATTCTTACAGGTAGTAGAGTTCCATATTTAATAGGTATATTCCATAATAAACTAAATAAATAATAATAAATAGTGACAACTATTTTTTGAGCAGAAATAACATTTCCAAAAGATTTTGAAATTGCCAACCCGCATTGAGCCAGCGTGGTGATTAATGCTGAAATCCTCTCCACATGTTGTACCTGATGATTTCATGATATTTACATTTACATTAATAATTTTACATAATATTGTTGCAGTGAAATCAGTTCATGAAGCTTTGGATTGCATGTCAGAAGAAGACTTCAGATGCCAGTATTGCCGTGAAAAGCCAGCATTGTCTGATGAGCTGATCTTCTATTGTAAAACTGGAAGACGCTCTACTATAGCTCTAAACCAAGCCCTGAAGCTTGGTTATGTGAAGTATGTATTTTGTTTTAATAACTTAACATCACGCCTTTTATCCCCGAAGGGGTAGTACTTTTTCACTATTTATGTTACGAGTCCCATGTAATAGGGGGTGAACCTACTGCCATATACCAGGCATAATTGCAGACTCCGAACCCAAGACCCCTTGCCCGGCAGTCGCACTTGCGTCCATTCGGCCAACGAGGCAGTCAGTTTGTTTAAATTATACCGATTAATGTGGGTTTGCCTTGGTAGATCGTTTGCAATATAATAAGTTTTTCAATATCAATAGAGTATTTAGGTTTAAATTGAAGAGTGTTTTCAATAGTGCGACTAAAGTCAAGAATTTCTATTCTGAACTTATTGCTGTTATAAATTATTATTCACTTCCTGACACAATGTACAATGCAAGATTATGCGTATAATGTTGTTTAACAGGAAAAATATGTCTGAGACCAATTTGCGTATAATCTATCATGGGGCTGCAAGATAAACATTAAAAAATATATAATCACTAGAAAAAAATTGAAGTTCATAATGTTTATTAGCCTTACTTAATAAACAGTAAAGTTCATAGTAGGGTGATTTAATGAAGTGTTTTGATAACAGATTATTGATTTCTTGGGCAATGTACTGTAAACATACATGCAAACAGTTTTCATATAACAATTTGGTAAAAAGAAAAAAGTCAAAATTTAACTATCGATAACATCACGCCTTTTTATCCCCGAAGGGGTAGGCAGAGGTGTCCATTTTGGCACTTAATGCCACTGTACAAATGTAACACCCACTTTTCACTATTTATGTTATGAGTCCCATATAATAGAGGGTGAGCCTATTCCAATATACCGGGTACAATTATAGACTCCGTGCTACTACTGAGTTTTTTTTAAACTCAGTAATACTTTGCCCTACCTGGGAATGGAACCCGAGACCCCTTGCCCGGCAGTCGGCCAACAAGGCAGTTTAATGATCCATCTCAAATTTTATTACTGTATTTTATATTTACGCAATATCGCAACCTATTGTTCTTTAAGCTAAACAAACAGTTAGCTGTTGTTATTCCAGACCATAACCTCCCTGTTTTATCTGACCCCTTGACCCCTTCAGTCGTTTTGACGTGATTGACATAAAAAATTTAAAAAAATCATAAAAACACACTCACGAACTCACAAACTTTCGCACTTATAATATTAGGAAGATAAGACTAAGTGTATTTTTAATGATTTTTATTTTTTATTCACAGCTCTAAAAATTATTTGGGAAGCTGGACAGAGTGGTCACAGAAAAGCAAACTTCATTGATGCAGTTGCAATTGTATAAAATGTGATTCTTAATAAATGTGATGTGTAATAAAATGGTGCTTTCGTTTTTACTGACAAATTGTTTTTTTTACTGTCACTAAAATCGTTACAGAAAAATTAAAATCAAGTTAAAATCAATTTTATAAAAATAATTAAGTATGTGTAGAAAATGTTAACCACTGTCACAGTATCTTATCAAAACCACTATTGCGGTTCTGGTAATGATAAAAAAACATACAAACAAATAACAGATAACAAACTCAGTGAAATAAATGAGAATTATTTATTAACAAGACAACTACAAAACATCATATATTTTACTAAGACAATGGTTTGTGCAGACAGATGCAAGGACATTCCGATCATTGTAGATAAAAATACGAATTTATTGCGTTTTGCTTGCCCAGTCATTCCAACTGCCAAGATAATTCTTTGTGCTGAAATATAAAAAAAAATACAATTATAAGTTTGTCGCATAAACTGTTCTATGGAAACATGGCTAGCTATGAATAGGATTTCAGCAGTCCTAAAATATTTATATGAAACTGAAAATAGAAAAATCATAGTAAACTTTGAAGCAAAGAAATGGAAGAACACTAGCGTTTTTTTTTCTGCTATCTCGGTAAATAATAATTAGTAGAAGTACTTTATTAATTAGTAATGTATGTCGTATAAAAGACAATTTAGTTACATTTATGAGTGCAATTTGTTGTAAAACGAATATTTTTTATTAAAATAAAAGGTGCGATAAAATGAAAAAAAAAATCCGCTAGTGGCTCCTTGTACCCAAGTATAGTTAACTTACTTTTTATATCCCAAATTGATAGCATTCTGTTGTGCCTTAGCAGACCTCTTGCCAATCATGCAATAGAATATGATCTCTGTATTCTCAGCAGGCTTGGCCCTTTGGTATGTGTCCTGGAAATCTTTCTCAGACATTGTTCCCAACACGTCTGATACATTGCCCACTGAAATTGTAGAAGCAATAAAAAAAACTTGTAACAAATTAAATCTACTTTCTCGTATCCAGTAGTGACTGGCATGAGTATGGCGATGTTTTGGACCACATTTATTTAGTTTTGGTGTAGCACATAGATTATTTAGTTAAGTAATAAATTACAACACTGATATTAGGTACAGAAAAGTGAGGGTTAATTTATATAGTGAAAACTTAACTTTCTTACATAAAACAAGAGGGGAATAGCAACAAGTACTTACATGGGATGTTTACACTATTGGGTATCTTGCCATGCTCCTTAACTTCATCTGGCTCTCGAACATCAACAATTAAAATACCAGTATTTCTAGTGGCATTCTTTACATAATCATAGTCAGCTGTCGAATCGTCGAGATTTACTTGTACCGAATTTGATCGAACCGAATTATTGATAATAGGAATGTGGGTTACTGGAGGAGCATCTAAAATTATAAAAAGAATACAATACTTATAAAGAAGCAATTCACTCGTTCTAAAATTTAGTATAACTTGTAGAATAGTTGTGCATTAATATAGTTTTTTAGGTACTTACGACGGACATGAAAGGTTGTTAAATATTTTCTCAGATTTGTAGTTCCCGCCGTTCGCCGTATTTGAATAGATGACGGAAGCGAGCGACGAATTACTCGTGACAACATTTTTATAACAATAATTTACTTAATTGATTAAATAACTAATTGAAATATTCTGATGAATATTTGTTTTACGTATTTCCTTCAAATAGTTTTCACAACTAATTGTACTTTTCTATTTTTTTCAATTTTATACTTTTTGACTGACAATTTGTAAAAAAATGACATTGACGTTTGATATTGTTTTGCTCCTGAGAGATGTGCTCGATCTTACTATGACTATTCAGTTTTAAATTTATAGTTTTTAAATAATAGTAATAATACTTATGTCTTATGTAAACACCTGAAGGAAATATTATTTATTTTTTCGTTATCAATCTCCAATACTCCATAAGTTGTTATGAAAAATCAAAGCATTGTTTTAGCCAAGTTTTAGCTTTGTGCCTATTTTTTTTGTGGCAATTTTTCGTGTGTTTGATTTTGTTTTTGACATGGTATTCTCAATTTTGACAGCTGACCCCATCCATCAAAAGCTTTCAAGCTTGTGCAAAAATATTTTTAATTTTTTCTTATTCTTTAGTATCTCCTATTAAGTTGTAAGTGTTTGTGTGATAGTATTTTATACAATCCAATCCATAGCTCACGTTTTTTCGCACGGAAAGCGAGTGTAAATGTTGAAACTCGACGTATCCTCAATACCTTATGATTTTTATTGTGTTCTATTTCTATGAGATTCTGCAGTATCAATAAACATGAGTAACTTATCTTACTTCCAGATGCTATACGCATAACATACAGGAGTGAGCGAGTGTTGTTGGTGTGTTGTGTGAGATGGTTTCATATTGAAATTAGTCAGATCATTACGATAGCAATATGGGGTCCATGCGACCGACAGGAAGGTTCCTATCGTTTGCGAACAACATTCAACGTACACAGAAACAAGCTGGTAAGTGTGCAACATTAACTTGTCAATAAACTTGAACACATACCTATGTTATGAATCATAGTTGTACATGTCCTTGTTTGTTTTTGCACATGCTAATACAGATTAGCTGTGTCAAATTGACATTAATTTTCGTAATAATATTTCTATTGTGAAAATGTGTCCTCATTACACTTAGTGGGTTATTATATTAGCCATTTACATTGTTATTATTAGACAAAACTAATAATTACATAATTTTAATAATTCTGAAAGTAAAAAAAACATACCTTAATAAAGACTTTCTTACAAATGTTCGTTTATTTCTAGTGCCAAGTGGATTTCCACAAAGTCTATCAGGAAGTGAGACGGATGTGTCAACATCTAATGAGAATTTGTCTCGAGAGGAGCGCTATGTTGTGCGACATACAGCCAGGGTTGAGCCCCAGGGACAGGAGAACCAGACTCAACAAAATAACAATAACAGGAATTCTCTAAAGGTCTGATTATGTTTTATTTAATATGCCTTTGGTATGTATGAGGTTACCAGAGGCCCAATTATCCTAGTCCCCGTCTCCCGAATCCCCGAATCCTCCACAATCCTCAAATTCTCAATTCCCAAAAGACTGGTAACACACTTGTAACACCCTGATGTACGTAAGGTGGAATGCAGCAGGAATTTTCACCCAAATTGACAGAAAAGTGCAAATGGTAGTTATTATTAATGATTTTCAGTATTAAGTTCCTTGTTACAATATATATCTTAGGGTATAGGTCTCCTACAACGACTTATCTAGTTTTAATGTAATGTTTCTGTGTACAAGTGTAATTTTAAAGCCTATTAGGAAAATAACCACCATTTATGATTTATTCAAATTCAATCTGTTTCAGGACAATGTGACAGGTAGTAACCGTAACTCATTAAAGGATTCAGTGGGTGGAGGCAACAGCAATAGAAGTTCACTCGACGTGTCCTCCTCTTCATACAATACTCTCATCATACACAATCAGGATGACTCTTGGCCACCTAGACCCACTCCCATCAGGTGAGAATGTTTATACTTCATTGATTCGGCTTGCAGTCACTGTTTGACTTTCAAATTGAGGTTTCGTTAGGATGTAAACAAAAACACGGCTAGCAACACTGAACAGTGTTGCAAAAATTAACCAGGCTTCAATTGAAGTTAGTTTGTTAATTGAATGTGGTTTTAAATCCAATATTTTCACAAAAATGGATCTCAATAAAATCTTTCACACAAAAAACTGTTGGAAATGACCAAGGAAGCATTTTCTTTAATGTTTTTTGAGGTCTTCCTCGGTCATAGTTTATTTGTAAAAGCAATCTGCATATTCTAAAAATATTATGTTTTCAACAGGGAACATGAGAGAACAAGCAGTGAAGTGAAACATCCCACCACTCAGTCATCACCGTACCACACACTGAAGAAGAATGAAGGTGTAAAGAAACCCAGTGGGATACCTGTACCCAAGCTGCATAAAGAACAGAATGTCACTACCACAGCTAACTACATTGATATTGGAGGCCAGAGGATTTATACTAGCCCACCTGACCATGGAGTTCAGGTACTAAAATTTCTATTTTTTAGTTGTGTATTATGTTGTAAAGTTTTTTCCTTAAATGATGAAGAAGATAGTAATTTTGGCCAGCCCAACTTACACTTCACCTTGTTCCTTCCACACAGGAGATAACAGAGATCCCGGATGATTTCCTCAATCAGTCTTCAGTACTGAAGCATTTGGCGAAGGAAGTAGCCCAGTCTCCAACCCCGCGCGGTCCCACTCCTCCCGCCTCGCCCCGCGCACCTGCGCCTCCCCGAGACGATTCAAGGAAAGCCAAAGGAAAATGCTCAAAGGCTAAGCTTAGTAAGGAGAAATTGAATCTATCAAGGTCACAGCCTGATCTTACAAGGTAAGATTTAAGCTACAAGTTGATTGTTTAAGTTAGCAAGGAATTAAGAATGATGATTCGGTCGAAAATAAATTGTAATAAATATTAAATAGTGTCTAAAAATAATGTCACTCACTTTTGATTTCTTTTTAAGGATAGTTTTAGTGTTTTTATAGCTTGTTTAGAAAAAATAATGCGTAAAATATTCAACACCAGGAAATCTTTCTGTTGTGTGTAGCGTCGGCGTCCGCGCAGTGCCGGGCGGCTCGGAGTCGAGTGGCTGGTGCAGCGGCGGGGAGGGGGAGCTGGAGGAACCTGACGATGCATTCACTGCGGTACTCGACGCTCTGGCCGCTGAGAACCATCAACTCAAGAGACAACTCGCTGATGCCTGCGAGAGAGTGGCCAAAACTAATAAGGTGAGTCTTAAATAATAGTTTAGCTTCTGATTTTCAAAAGTATTAAAGCCTGTAATTTCAGGTGCTACTCAAATCCTATGTCTTAACCACATGAATCTCTGTATCAGCTGGTGAAAACCATATAAAAACGTATCATGTTCAAATGGTACATTTTGTTTTATGATTAAAATAATGTGAAGTTGAAAATAATGACGTGGCCTATAATTCTATATTTTGTAGCTGGAAGAAGAAGTAGAAAAGGTCCGCACAGCACACGAAGAGCTGGTAGGTTCATGCGAGCGTCGCGAGAGATTGGAGCGGGCTGCCAGGGTACGACTACAGGCAGACTGTCGCCGTCTGCACGACCTCAACCGAGCACTCAAACAACAGGTAAGCTTTGAAAATTACAAGTAATAAGAATTCTTCCATGCGAGATTCGACCCCGCGATACGTTGCGACAACTGTGCAATAAAAAAACTTAAATTTTGCGCAGTGTCAGCTACAAATTGCTAAATTTGTATAAAAGTTTGTGCAAAATGATTCCGTTTATTTAGAGTAATTGGTTGGAAAAGATTTTAAAGTAACTTGATGATAAAATATTGTTTACAGGTGGAGCTATTATCACAAGGGGTTCGAAATGAAAACGACAGCAATGCTGAAGCGCTGCGCAAGGAGTTGCAGAGCAGGGAGATGCTTATCGCACAACTCATTACACAGAGTAAGAACATACACAGATCATTTCAAAATGTATGGCAAGGATTTTCTAAAGAAGGTTTATTTTCAATGAACCCTATTAGGATTATTCCATGGGACTTGTAGTATTTCTGGATTTCCTGGATAAACGGTTTTATATTGTCTTAAAATGCACACTGATCTTTTTCCTAACCTCAGATCGCCCTTAATTTTTCCACATACAGTCTCATTTAAAGTGAAGCTAGGCACTCATTCCAAAACCTATCACCATCATGTCAGCCACAAGACATCTACTGCATCACCAATGCCCTCCCCCCAATGACATCCAGATAGGATGGTTGAAAGTTTCCATAAGCTGTGTTCTTATCTAATGAGTTTTACGTCTGTACAGACAAGGAGCTGGCATGCGCTAAGGAGAGACAAGAGATAGAGATGGCGGCCCAGCGCGCCACGCTGCAGGAGCAACGCACGCACATCGACATACTGGACACCGCGCTCACTAACGCACAGGCCAACGTCGTCCGCCTCGAGGAGGAGGTAACATCATAATTATATCATCAGCCATATATCATCAGCCGGAAGTTAATACAATCTCTTTTTCCCTTGGTCACGGCATCACGCGTGAATGGCTGGACCGATTTCACTAATTCTTTTTTGTTGTATTTGTTATTATTAAGGAGATGGTTGTTAAGACAGAAAACGTCCTGAAAATCCTACGGCAACGGGAGGAAACGGGATTGCGCTCACGAAGTCGCGGGCAGAAGCTACTTATTTATACTGAACGACTTATGTTCAAATACTCAAATGCCACCCAATTTTAAGATGTTTTTTTAAGGACAGTTCTGCTACTTCACTACTAATTCTTTACGATGACAGAGTATGGCGTTATTTAAGCACAACTTAGAATTGAGTAGCATATCAATATTCAGGCGTTACTCACGTTAGTGTTTGACGACGAACTCGACTAGCGTAACGACTTTAAGCCGTGGTCGGGGCTCATATTTATGAGCATTGCACAGCCAACTTTTCTTAAAGCTGGAAGAATGTCCGCTACTAAATAAAGGCCTCCCTTTTACATATACACACATATTGTGAACTAACTCTTATTTCTCGATCAATTAATGATTTCCTCGATAATATCTATAAGTGACCTATCGTTGTCAGTGCCGTCACGCCAGTGGGTACGTGGAGCGAGTGATGGGGTTGCAGCGCGCACTGGCCTCGCTGCAGCAGGCCTCCGACCGACGCGAGCATACTGAGAGGAAGCTACGCGCGCAGCTAGAGAAGGAGCTGCAGACTCTCAGGTAAACTGCAAGGCCATAAATGTTATCTGCTGTAGGGGACGTATCTAGTATTGTGTAATGTTAGTTTGGGAATGCAATTTCGTCACTTATATTTTTTTGGAGAATCATCCAATGATTCCTCCCGCCTAGGTTGACGCGAGAGAGAGTGTCAGCCATTTATTGATTAAAAACTACTCTGTTTCTAATCTGGGTTCGAGCCCAAGCTCTGATAACCCGTTAAGTTGTCCATGGCTCTGGGTCGGGCATCAGCCGCACTGAGTCTCATCTGTGGTGGTCTGAGGGCTTCGTACTAGTTTGTGTTATGTTTAAAGTAAGAAACGAGACTGCGTTTGGAGCTTTGATTGGTTGGATGATCGGAGCTGGCCTGATGACTGTTTGAGGTGCCGTCGTACGCTCGGGTGTGGTGAATTACCCGTGGCATGTATGTTGCAGGAAGCGCGAGTGTACCTGCGGCGGGGGCGCGGGCGGGGGCGCGGGGGGCGCGGCGCCCGCGGCCCTGTCGCCGGACCCAGGCGGAGCTGCGGCGCCAGCTGCGCGAGCGCGACGAGCGGCTGCTGGCGCTGGAGGGCGAGTGCGCCAAGTGGGAGCAGCGCTACCTCGAGGAGGCCGCGCTGCGCCAGGCCGCCGTCTCCGCCGCATCCATACCCAAGTGCGTGCATACTGCATACACACGTACTGCTACAGTGCAGATTTATATATTGAATCATTACATTTTAATAGAACAACATTTGCCGACTTACTTCACTTTTAATTTGGCTTTGCTCTGGTTTACACTGAACTGAACCCCATTATGAACGACATGAAAATGTTGGCGCTGGCTTTACAAGCGAGACAATCGCGACGACTCGTTTTTATTGCTACTCATCACATCGCATAGAGAGTAAAGATATAACAATACATGCATGTCTCCCTCATGGAGATGGCACCTTTCTAGATTTGGTACATCTTCCCCTTCCGCCTCAATAAAACTGTTTGTAACATACATACTATTTTCGTAATATACTGATAATTGATTAAAACATTGAACAGTACCAGAAGTTCCATTGTAACTCAAAGCAGTTCCGTTTTCAGGGATGCGAAGATCGCGGCGTTGGAGAAGACGTCGGCGGAGTCCGAGCGACTGATGGCGGAGGCTCGCAACGAGAAGATACGACACATGGACGAACTACACTCCGCACAGAAGAAACTAGCTGACCTAGAGGGCAGGTGAGATTACACTTTTTGTTTATAGACCTTCATACAAGACAATGTCACAACTTTAAGCGTGTCGATATCATAAAGCACGTTTTTAGGAGACCCAATTCCTCCCCTTCCTAATCCCAAATTATCAAACCCCTAGCTCCCAAAAGGCCGGCAATTCACTTATTGTGAGTATCCATAGGTGGCGCCGATTGCTGACCTTGTTTGTAGTAAGCCTTATGGACGATTATGCGCCGTCTGCTCGTTTGTCGGTTGTTCACTTAAAACAATGACAAATAACATTTAACATTACTATACCCGTAGCAATTTTGTTTTATCCAGAGTAAAGGAGCTGGAATCTAAAGTGGCGGAACGTGACGCGATGATCAAAGTCCTGCAAAAACACACTAGCGCCGCTTACGACAGTGGCGCTTCACTGCGGAATAACTCCAGTCGCGAGGAACTGGGTAAAGATTCATATTACTTTCATAATAACAACACAAAACTCCGTCTCTGTTAAAAACGAGTAGCACTTTTATAGCAATTATGACTACCCAAAAAGATATTGCAAAACACGTTTTAAACATCTTCGACAGTACTTATACTGAATTGAAAAAAGAACTACCTCGTTGGCCGAGTGCTCGCAAGTGCGACTGCCGGGCATCGGGTCTGTTACAGGGTTTAAAAAAAATGTCAGTAGTAGCACGGAGTCTGGAATTGTGCCCGGTTTATGGCAATAGGCTCACCCCCTATTACATGGATAACATCAATAATCGTTTTATATCTTCAGATTTTGAATTAAGATATTTAATTGGGACGTTAATCGAACTAATCTAATAAGATCTCTGGATCAATCTGGGTAGGTAAATCAGAAATACAATGGGACTAAAGTTGAGGATCGATTGATCTAAGGATTTTATGATTGATCTAGGACATTAGGATTGTTTATTTTATTGAGGCATTAATGAATATAATGATGTCGTGTCCAGTGGGCCTGTCGTCGGGCGCGTCGTTCTCCAGCGCGGAGGGAGTGGGCGGCGGCAGTGTGTCGGGCCGGTACCGACATCTAGCGCGCAGGAACTACTCGCCGCATAATGACAACTCTAGCGGTAATTATTCGTTTTTTTACTGATTATACTGAAAAATTATAAATAATTCGTGTTGAAATTGTCCACAATTTAACATTCTTATCGTTTTCACCTACCACCGCTAAGCCATCTCTTAGCTAACAGTTACTTAGCATGATATAGCGCCTAACTAATCCCTATCTTTAAGTTTCACTTATAGGTTAGTGTCATCAAAATGTCGTTAAATATCACTTGCTTAGACTTAGTTGGAGGATTTTTTTTAATTTAAGAGAGGTTGGTGAAATCGCTTCTTTTACGCTTTTACCATTTAACCAAAAGTTCGTGTCGTAACATAAACTATATCTGTATAATAATTAATTTTTATTTCCTGTACTAGGTTGCGGGTTCGACAGCACGTCCCTGCGCCTGGACGAGCAGTTGGCGGCGCTGGAGTCGCGCCTGGAGCGGCCGCCCGTGCCCGCCGTGAGTTACCTGCCCGACCGACCCGACCGACCCGACCGACCCGATAGACCCGACCGACCCGACCCTCGCGCGCATGCATGTCGCGACTACTACTGATCACTGATTCACACCACGCGCCATACAGCATTAGGACCGCCCTTAACCTTTCAAACTGACGAAAAGCAAACGTAAAATTATGCATAAAATGCCACTCGTGTGTAAGCGCACAAGACAAAACGATTGACAAGTTACCAATGACAGAAAAAGGGCGCCGTTCACGTATTTCGGCGTTGGTAACATGCCGCTCGCGTGTAAGCGCCTCAAAATGTCTCTCCATTTTAACTTGTAAAAACACAACTAAATATTTGGGGGCCGTATACGCCCGAGGTTCCAATATATGTATTTGTAATAAACGTGTGTTCCGTCGATGTTTGAAAGGTTAACAAAACCCTCATTACTCTTCAGTCTTGTATCAAAATAAGCAAAAATTAAATTTATTTTTGCGCAAAAGTATCTGTTAAAATTCTTATTTGCTTGAATTAGTTTTCAAGTTAAAACAATACACATAAAATTGATTCAAAAACGATATTAAAATTAATTGATCGAAAATAATATCGAAATAAAACTCGATCGACACTCTCGAACTCAGCTTTTTAACTATAAAAGCATTATCTTTTCCGACTAATATGTACATTCCTGAACTGGAAACGATTCCGCTTACTCACACAAACATTCCGGCCATGTACAAATATACGAACAACGCTTCGTCTGTGTGTTCTGTGTGATTTCAAGTGTTTTTATCTAACCCTAACATTATCAAAGACTGTAAAGATGAACTTGAACGTGCCTTTAACTGTGTCTCGATAACCGTAGTGCCACATACGGCCAGTCTCAGTAACCTGTATAATGTCAATGTTACCGCTTTCGGCGCTCTGATTGGTCGGTTCATTGAAGCCAGCCAATCAAAACGCCGAATGTGGTAACGTTTCGATAAAAGTAAAAGAACCTCGTACTAAGATATACATATAAATGGATTAATCCCAAAATGTATCTAGTGCGAGTTTATTTTAAGTTAACGCGATCGACACGTTTTATGTCGTTCAGAGCTCTTCGTACAAGTTTGGTTTACGTTAAAAGTAATCGAAATGAGACCCCGTTCGTCGCTTTGATTGGTTGGTTAATTGGAGCCAGCCAATCAGACTACTAGTCTACTAGACTACTTTAAACGTAAATCAAACTCGTACTAAGCCCTTTGCGCTCTGATTGGCCAGATCCAAGTTAACCAACCAATTAGAGGGCAGAGTGCCAAGCACGAATAACTATCGCATTCGTATCGTAACAGTATCAAGAGAGTTAAGCATTCTGATTGGTTGGTTCACTTGAGCCGGCCAATCAGAGCGCCGAACGCGCTCGATACTATTACGTTACGAATGCGATAGTTATTCGTGCTTGGCACTCTGAATGCGGTGTTTCAATCGCGTTGAAGTAAAAATAACTCGCACTCAGATAGCTTTGTACGAGTTGATTTTAAGTTTACTCGCTCGCTCGGACTAAGCCATCAGCCTTCTATAGCAAATAGTACGGACAAGTTACAAAGATAGGTTATTGAGACTTGCCGATAGTTTATAAGAATCTCTCATATATTTACAAATTGTTATACACTCCACTAGAATCAACTAGACTATAAGGTTATTTGTATAAAAAATGTGAAATTATATCATTGTTATAAGATTATTGCCACATACAAGAAGTATAGACAAAATTCCCTTTATTTAGAAATATAAGTATCTAATTTTGAGGACTAAAGAATTGATACTTTCTTCAGTCAAATTTTTTTAACTTTTTATATTGAATTTGACTAACTAGAAAGTACACGTCTAAAAAATATCAGTTCCTGAGAGGTTATATATGGATAAATTCTTCGAGGCTCGTATTTATAAAAAAAACTGAATACATAGTCTTATAATCTCTCATTTTCCTGTTTATTAGTATTTCTTTGTATTAGAATTATAGTTCTTACTATTTCTGACTTATTTTATTAATCATTGATTACAATACACTGTATATAAACAATTGACTGCCAATGAGAGCAGATTATAAAAAAATATATTCAAAAACTCTAGTTCTTGTTACAAAATTAATGTGACATTAATGCTTATTACTTCTTATGTTATATTAATGCTGATTTTATATATATAGAAATAAAGCAGAGGCATTGGTCACAAAAATATGCCAAAGTTAGTACCTACGTCAAAATTTTTCGGCCCATTTATAAAATGTACTCCTTAAAATGGTTATAGATGTAAGATATTTTATAATTTATTTTTTGATTAAATCGTAGTATGGGTTAAGTAGACGTTTGATATTATTTCTTTTAGTTAGGTCGGCTTTTATTTTGTTCCTGTAATTTAACAAAAGGAGCTTTGTATCTTTATTTATAAGTTATATGTCCAAATACTCAAACGTCTCACAATTTTAGGACGCGCTTAAGTATAGTTCTGTCACCAAAAAATTCTTTCTAAAACAGGGCTGTCCAAACTATATACCGTCGCGGGTTAATAAAATTTCCTACAAAAACTGAAGGGCCAGAAAAATATTTTCAGTTGTATAACGACGTTTAACATTGTATTCTTTACTCACAGACAAAACTTGCATACAAATAAATATACTGAATTTTATTATTCACATAAGATGAAAATGTTGAGATTAAAATAAGTGTCGCGGGCCGCATGCGGCCCGCCGCCCTTTATTTGGACAGCCCTGTTGTAAAATGACAGATGGCAGATATTTAAGTGTAACTTAAAATTTAGAGTCTTTCAGTATTCGGGCGATAGTCTCATTAGGTTTTAAGTTAGTGTTCGAAAGTGCGTGGTTTCTCAAAGATAAGACCTAGCATCATTTTACTTATGTAAAGCCTTGTTTAGGTAAATCTGAAGTTTTGAGGGCTTTGACGTTTAACGAAATTTATTCGTTCCCGCGTTTAGCGTTCCTATTGGCGGACTCCAATGATCGAACCAATCAGAGGGCTAAACGCGCCGGTGACGTATCATTCTCTTTAAACTTGAAACCAACTCGAACTAGGCCCAGAGGCCTTAGTACGAGTTTGTTTTACGTTCAACCCGTCGTGTGTCTGAACCTGGATTCACGCGAGACACAATGTATTTTCTATAGTGTCTCATATACTGGCATTCAAGCGGTTAAAGTAAACGGAACGAGACCTCGTTCGGTGCTGTGATTGGCTGGTTCATTGGAGCCGGCCAATCAGAGGCCTTAGTACAAGTTTGTCTTACGTTTAAAGTAATCGAAACGAGACTTCGTTCGGCGCTATGATTGGTTGGTTTATTGGCGCCGGCCAATCAGAGTGCCGAACGCGTACTCGTTTCGAATAGTTTAAACGTAAAACAAACTCGTACTAAGGTCTCAGAGGCCTTAGTACGAGCACACTGATCGGCCGGCACCAATGAAGCAACCAATCACAGCGCCGAACGCGTACTCGTTACGATTACTCGTAAACGTTCAACAAACTCGAACTAGGCCCTCTGTACTTTATGTGAACCATCACAGCTCTAGTTATTAGAATTATATCTAATTGTAAATCTCATTTGTTTACTTATTGAATACATATTTAAACGAAAGGTGCTTGTATATGGACGTAGAATATAAGGATCGAGCCATTTCAGAGTGAAGTTGTATTTAAACGCTACTCGATTACAAACTCCGTTGTGTATGAACTGATTTGACTGTTATTATTAAAAATAATATTGACAAAAATATACCACTAATGTTTATTAAGTAAATTAAACTCTAACTGCGATACTCAGAGAAATGTGATTACTTAAACTATTCCTTATTAAAGATTTTATTCTGAAAACAATTCGGTACTTGCCAACTAGTCAAATTCAATTATTTTTTCGAACTGTCAAAAACGAAAGTTTAGAATTTTGTATGAGATTGTGTGTTGTGACGTCACAATTTATTTTTGATTGTGGAAAGTACCTAATTGCTAAGGACTGGGTTAAGTAGCCATTAAATGACTGAGTACCGGTTAATGTATGTTTTCAGAGATTATTATAAGAGTATTATAGTATATTCTCGTAAACAGTGGCCTTATGACGATGATAATTATTTAAGGCTTTAGTTATAAGCACTAAGGAATTGTATACAGATATATTTTTGTAAGATGTATTCAATGTAACATTAATCATATTTTTAGAAGCATGTTTTAGAATAAACATCATGTTTTGTTTGTTGTGGTTTTACTGAGTGTTCCTAACATAGCGGCTTGGCTGTTTCACATCGAGATAAGTAAACATTACTTAGTGTACATCTCACTTTTACAAGGAATTGGGTGACGGTTACTGAGAGCCTAGTGGCAGTTTGTTTTACGTTAACGCGATCGACACGTTTATCACGTTCAGCGTTTTGATTGGCCAGCGCAAATTATCCAACCAATCAATAGGCTAAACGTGGCAACGTAAAAAGAACTCGCAGTAGGCCCTCTGATAACTGACTAAACAATGTCTATTTGTCTCGACCTGTTTGCCTCAAAAGGCGATGAACAAATAAACGATTTGCCTCCTCGTATTAACATTAATGTATTCGCTTTTGTTTTGGGAGTGTTGCAGTGATAGCCTACTGACACTGTTGTTATAACAAGACTACTCTAAATAGGCCACTTTCAATATCACGCAATATCTTGTACCTACTTTCACTCATTTTTATCAAGTATTGTTTGACCGATAACTTTGGGTCACATCCCTAGTACTGTACATTGTTGTAGAGCAGTAAACGAAGCTTTAATTATTATAATTATCTATTTATTACATTCAAATCACAGTAAAAATGTCTTTTGACTTTATTTATTTATGTTATAACTTTCGTGAGACATACTAAATGAATGGTTATATGTTTCGGTTTAATCAAGTAATTATTTGACGAGGAACTCGACTAGTTTCAAGCCATGCTAGAGGCTCATATTCATGAGCAGCATATTCACGACCCGCGACGCGGCGACTGTCGTGCTGCTACAGGACTTTGACTTTCATGAAGTCGTATCAATTTATTTTCCCAGTTCACAGTTGGTAGTTATGGTTAATATTATTCTTAATATATTAATGAATTAAAGTGGTCCTAATAGAGTGGTCGCGTTATAACTTTCTTCGGGCAGCGCCGCTTCCGTAATGAGGTAAGAATCACTAATTAATTGCTGTATGTATTGTTCTCTTGTACAAATACATTAACTATTTATCAGTGTTGCTACACCTGAGCCCAGTTCATTTAAAACATAAATTACTTAAAAAATACTAGCTTACTTCTTCTAACCGTACCTGGAGTCATTTAATGCTTAACTCAGTCCTTAAGTAATCAATTAATGTCTCTGAGTACGGCAGTTAAGTCGAAATACTCAAACTCCACACAATTTTAAGTCACGGTTAAGTATAGTTCCGTCACAACCAATTGGGTACTTTCCTTAATCAAAAATAAATAATTTCCACTGTTCAATACAATAAAATATTAAAAAATAACGACACTTTCATTAATTGATTTTATAACTAACTCAATTTTAATATTTTTAAGCACTTTTTTAAGAAATAAGTATGCTGTTTGACGCTAAAAAATCGTGACGTTACAATAGACAATCGCGTACAAAATTCATAGACAATGTCGTATTTGACAGTTTGAAAAAAGTATTTTACTTGACTAGTTGGCAAGTACCCAATTCTTTGTAAAATGACAGGCGATGGCGATGGCGCGATTAAAATACAACTTAAAATAAATTAGTAGCCTTTCAGTATACGGGCGTACCTACTGTAGACATGTAAAAGTTTTAATAAATGTCCCATTACATTCATAATTATACACAACATAGTGAGATTTTTGATAAAAAGATAGTATTTAGACACGCCCAAATTAAAAATCAAGTCACATAATATGTAATCTCATCATACTATTACCACAGCTATTACGTTGAAGTACTACTTAACAAATTGAAATGGAAAATCAGAACATATAGCCTTTTTCTGTGCTATGACTCGTAGGATTTTAAAGAGGTTTAATTATCTAAATAATAATACATACGTAGAAACTAGAATGTTACTAATTTATATTCAGTAATAGGTGTTAAACTTTTTAAGCATAAGCGATGGACGGATAGTCTTCATACGTCGCTTTCATACACGCGAGATCGAGGTCAAGTACGATCCCATTCTCATTAATTGATAAAACAAGGGGGCGAGAGTACATACCTACCTATCTACTGCGCCGCGAGTAGGTGTATGATGGATGTACCATTATAATTTTAATTTAATAATGACTTTAGGTCATAAAAATTACTTTATTTCAATGATAAATTAGTCTTTTAACTAACTTACCTATTAGATTTAAAGGGTTTTTGTTCTGTTTATTTCTTTATAAATATTTGTTTCAGCTTATAATTGAGATATCTGTTTATTCCATAGGTTCAGCACATAAATTACATACCCATTCTGTACATAAAGATACCCGTTTTAGGATCCAATATTATAACAGTATTTATTATTATAATGTAAACAAACACTACCTGTGCAGCGCGGGTTGTGCTGCTTCCCTGGTCTCGGCACGGTGGGTGCTCGAGGCGGCGGAGGGCGGGGTGAAGAAGCCCTGTTACTGGAGCGCCAGGGTCGGGCCTCACAACAGACACGCTCGTCCAGCCTGCCACCACCACCTTCAGCACTACCTCGCCCACCCAGGAAACCTTCCGCAAGGAACACCAGATACGACCGCTTGGAACATAGAGATGCTCGTAAGGTGAGGTCTTACACAACCCATATTTTTTATAACACAGATATAGCAAAATTGTAGTGTATAATCTTCGATCTACCTGACAAAGAGCCGATATCGCAGTCTATGAATATTACTTTGTTTTTATTTTTCATCAACATTGTTTTTCGTCTTCTCTGAATTGCTACCCTTGTAAAATTAATCTCTTTGTTTACCTACGTCTAGACCTTTGAAGTTCGAAGTTTGTACAAGTGGATCTATTTCTATGTTATCATAGCATCACATATAAATATCCAATATAAAATAAAATCACTTGCAGACGTCGAGTCATTGATTAAAACCCGAATTGATGCAATTGTGGCAATTAGATAAGTGCATAGGATAATAGTGCAATATTATTTATAGTTATCAATATTTCCGAATCAGTAGGTATATTCGTATGTATGTATGTACATACATATATGTGAGATTACATTTTGACATATAGTCAAAGATTTTGACCTTATTTAATCTGACACTGACCTATTTTCCGTAGAACCAAATATGTGTCATTGAAAATTCTAAGCATAGCTAGTTCGCAGTTTATGGGCAAGGAAATGTGATTATTCTTATTGTTTTAGGTATCTCCAATAATAAGCTAAATTAGGACAAAGTTTTCCCTAAACGGGTTGCCTATCAGTCAGTTTATTTTTGTCATGTTTAACACACAATTAGAGAGTATTTTGAACTTATTTTCCGTGGTAACTAATTTGTACCTTTATTGTTTAATATGTATTAAATGTCAAAATTTGACGAGACTAAACCAGACTGATAATTTCCGTGATAGTCAGACAGCCACCTACTTAAAGGAAAAAATCTGGGTATCTTAAGTTATACAATTTTGCTATTATACATAAGGAGTGGCCTTCTTGCAGATACAAATACAAGTATGTAATTCAGAAGTTAGAACTAAAATGAAATGCTGTTGAATCTGGTATTTGATGTTTGTTTGTGCGTCTTAGCGTCACCATTTCGCATGGTTGTGTACGTTTTATACATGTGTACGACTGTATGTAGATACGGACATTTAAGATTTATAATTGTTGTTTAACGGGGTGACGGCTCATGTCGTTTCGCCAGTTGGCGTCGAGTCGTACGGGTCAGAGCCCATTCGTCCCCTAAAATTCGTCCCCCAGCATAAAAGTTGTGGATTCGGCCCCTATATACGTGCCCATTGGTCTCCTGGTAGGGGACCAATTAATATTTAATAAAAAAATATTATTTTTAAGGTACCTATTCGTCCCCTCTAATATAATACATAATAAGTTAAAGATTCGGCACCTATTCAGGTGCCTATTGGTCCCCTGAGATAAAATAAGCTAAATTTTACACAAGAAACGGTTAACATAGTACACTTGTGAACAGTTTATTAACGGAATTAGTTTAATAAATCATAACAGATCATTGAAAAAAGAGCTATGATGATTGATAATAATATAACCTGTCGATAGGCCTACGATGCAATATTGTCTCTCTACGAATGGCTTTTTAAAAAACGGGGTACAAAATTGATAAGGTGTTTTATTTGTATGTTATGGCTGCCTCGGTGACATATTGGTTCTTGAAAGTGACTACGAATACGAGACTTCAATGTGTCTTTGGTCTTTTTTATATTAAATGATGTTCGCCTAACGAAATAAACAATATTGTTAATATTATAATAATAATATTTTTAACATAATTGAATCGAATTATCTCATTTGAATCCTGGAATATGATTAGTATTATTATTTGACGGTAATTTACTTTATATTGGAATACTACAGTTATATTTTGACTACATTATTTACTCCTAAATATGTATAAGTAGCAATTTATTATCCGCAATTATAATTTTATCATATTTGTGGATGTTATTATAATCTTGTATTTTGTTTTTCGTATTAGTTCAATGTGGAGTCGTTGTCCTTCTTTTAATGTACTAAAATAATGAACGTTCTAACATTAATTCTATATTTATTATTTTACCCTTTTCTGCGCGACTGTACCAGGACTACCAAGCTGCAGTATACATATATACATGTACTTATATTAGAAGAACGAATAAAAATAAATATTCTTCAGGGGACGAATAGGCCCCTCAAAAGTTCCAGGGGACGAGTGGGCACAGGGTGCGAATCTTAGGGGACGAATGGGCTCTGACCCACCACGGGGTCAGAGCCCATTCGTCCCCTAAAATTCGTCCCCCAGCATAAAAGTTGTGGATTCGGCCCCTATATAGGTGCCCATTGGTCTCCTGGTAGGGGACCAATTAATATTTAATAAAAAAATATTATTTTTAAGGTACCCATTCGTCCCTTCTAATATAATACATAATAAGTTAAAGATTCGGCACCTATTCAGGTGCCTATTGGTCCCCTGAGATAAAATAAGCTAAATTTTACACAAGAAACGGTTAACATAGTACACTTGTGAACAGTTTATTAACGGAATTAGTTTAATAAATCATAACAGATCATTGAAAAAAGAGCTATGATGATTGATAATAATATAACCTGTCGATAGGCCTACGATGCAATATTGTCTCTCTACGAATGGCTTTTTAAAAAACGGGGTACAAAATTGATAAGGTGTTTTATTTGTATGTTATGGCTGCCTCGGTGACATATTGGTTCTTGAAAGTGACTACGAATACGAGACTTCAATGTGTCTTTGGTCTTTTTTATATTAAATGATGTTCGCCTAACGAAATAAACAATATTGTTAATATTATAATAATAATATTTTTAACATAATTGAATCGAATTATCTCATTTGAATCCTGGAATATGATTAGTATTATTATTTGACGGTAATTTACTTTATATTGGAATACTACAGTTATATTTTGACTACATTATTTACTCCTAAATATGTATAAGTAGCAATTTATTATCCGCAATTATAATTTTATCATATTTGTGGATGTTATTATAATCTTGTATTTTGTTTTTCGTATTAGTTCAATGTGGAGTCGTTGTCCTTCTTTTAATGTACTAAAATAATGAACGTTCTAACATTAATTCTATATTTATTATTTTACCCTTTTCTGCGCGACTGTACCAGGACTACCAAGCTGCAGTATACATATATACATGTACTTATATTAGAAGAACGAATAAAAATAAATATTCTTCAGGGGACGAATAGGCCCCTCAAAAGTTCCAGGGGACGAGTGGGCACAGGGTGCGAATCTTAGGGGACGAATGGGCTCTGACCCAC